CATGCCAGGCAAGCACCTTTCCTACTAGGCCACACTATCCTTTTATTTTTTATCCTTTTTTGTGATATTAGGGACTCAACCCAAGACCATACTGAGCTTTACCCTCTCCCTTTTTTAATTTTTATTTTGAGATAGGTCTCACTAAGTTGCTATGTTGCTAAGCTTGGGTTCAGATGTGTGACCCTCTTATCTCAGCCTCCGGAGTAGGATGACTGTGTCCCAGCATACCTGACTCTGAGTCATCTTTCCCAGAAACTCTAGGATAGAGTTGTTCTTTCTACTCTTACTACCGGGACAGAAAGAAGAGTTGTCTCAGTCCCTTTTCTGCGGCTGTGACAGGATACCAGGCTGGGTGATTGTCTTAGTTACTTTCCTTGTTGCTGAGATAAAATACCCAACACCCACAAATTAAAAGAGGAAAGGTTTATTTCGGCTCACAGTTTGTAGAGCGGCAGCACAGAGGAGAAACAGCTCATGGTGTGGCAGGCAGAAGGCAGTGAGTTGCAGCAGGAACCACAAGCCGCCTTTCCTTGTGTATATTCCATCCAGGTTGTAAACCCATTGATGGATACTACCACACCCAGAGCGAGGCTTGCACTCTCCACCCCCATAATCCCAGCATCACAGCCTTAATCTATACTCACACACCCTAATCCAACCACCTCCAAAACTCCCCACCTGTGACCACATGAGGCTTTGGGGGACATCCAGACACAAGCATAGCAGTGACAATCAGCACAGAGGTTTATAGACTCAGAGTTGGAGACCGAGGACCTAAGGCTGTGGGGGTTCCTCTGCGCTGTGTCTTTATTCCGAAGGGGTAGGCAGCAAGCGCTCACACATGCAGAGGGCAGGTGGGCTGCACTCCTAACCATGCCACTCGCAGTGGCTGAACTGTACCTGCCCACAGGATTGGCAGGAACCCACCCAGGAGCACTCAGCCTCCATCCACTCTTTTTTTTTTTTTTGTCTTTTTCATTTTTATCGGTACCAAGGGTCGAATTCACGACTGCCTGCTTGCAAGGCAGACCCTTATGCCGCTGAGCTAAATCCCCTGCTCTCCTCCATCCACTCTTATAGGAGGGTCTCCTCTTAATACCAGATGGCAATGAAATTTCCACAGCAGCATCGGGGGAACATTCAGACCTTCTTTAGATGCACAGGCTGGGCTTTATTTCACAGTCACTGTGACTTGTGTAATCAATCATATACTCCTTTTTGCACCAGCTACTGGTAGGCTCTGAACCAAAAGTTTCTCCCAGGTCTGGTAAACATCAGCTTCTTTAGGCTCTTGATTTTTGAGCCCCATTCCTAGTTTGATTTTTTTATGTTATCATTACTGTCATTAGTGCTAGTGGCATTGGGGATTAAACTCAGGGGCTTTGCACTGAGCTTCCTCTCCAGCCCTTTAAAAAAATTTTTTTTTTTTTTTAAATTTTTTTTTTTTGTCTTTTTCGTTTTTATCGGTACCGGGGATCAAACTCACGACTGCCTGCTTTAAAGGCAGGCGCTTATGCCACTGAGCTAAATCCCCAGCCCCTAAAAAATTTTTTGAGATATGATCTTGGCAAGTTACCTAGAATGGGCTTGAACTGGCAGTCTTCCTGCCTCAGCCTCCCAAAGTCTTGAATTACAGGCATGTGGTACCAGTCTGGTTTTTCTTTTCTTTTGTCTTTCTTTCATTTTTTTTTTTTCCTGGTTATGTGTGCTAAGCACAGGGTCTTCACATAAAGCTACATCCCTGACCCTTTTCTGTTTCTTTTTTTTTTTTTTTTTACTTTGAGATGGTGTCTCGCTAAGCTAATAGGATGCCCAGCTGGACTCCTTTTGCCTAGTCTCCAGTGTCAGGATCACAGGTGTGTGCCACTACACCTGGTTTCCCTGCCCTTTTCAGTATTTGAGATAGGGTCTTGCTAGGTGGCCCAGGCAGGCCTCGAACGTGTCATCTTCCTGCCACACTCTCTCGAGTGGTTGTATCCCTATGCTTGGTTTTGCTTCTGCTTTAATGTCTGTGTTCTCATAAGCCTCTAGTCTAGGGCTGGAGGTACACCACAGTGGTCATGTAACATATGCAAGGACCTGGCTCTGATCCTCAGCACCAGAAATTAACACATGAGTGTGCACGCATGCGTGTACACACACACGCACACTGACACACACACACACAAAGAAAAGAAAAAAATAGAAATGAAAAAAGAAACCTATAAACCATCTTCAACCCCTTTTCGGGATGAGGTGGAAGGCAGACAAATCAGCTGAGCAGCTGGATATGGTAGCTCACGCCTACAATCCCGCACTCAGGAGGCAGAGTCAGGAAGGTGACCATGAGTCTGATGTCAACCTGGACTACGAAGTGAGCTCGAGCCAGTCCTAACTCCATAGCGAGACCCTGTCTCAGGGGAAAAACGGGGCAGGCCCGGGGTTTAATAATGGCATCTCTCTTCTAGGAACGCGAGTGCTAAAGGAATAGGAATAAATAGGAATAAATAGGAAAGCCAGTACGGAGGAGGCCCCAGTAAAAGCTAACTGTTCTCAGTGATATCAAATGCTTGGTCCTGTGTCTCAGACCTGTCTGTCCTTCTAAATCTGTAACGTGTTCATACAACTCGTGTGTCTCAGCACTGTCTGCAGGGTGAGGAAAGTGTGACAAGTGAGCCTCACCTCAGGGAGCCTGCCCCAGAGACAGGCTCAGGACTGCGGCTGGCAGACCTGTCTGCACCACCAGCAGGAAGGGACTCCTCCTACCAGTGCCAGAGGCGGCACTGCACGTGCTCACCAGCAACGTCATGGCCTGCAACTGCTGCCGCCACCGCAGCTTCCCTTAGCAAGGGTGGCCTGGCAGCTGGGGGCCTGTGGGGCGCCGCCCAGCGTGCAAATAGTACGACACAGGACACACGCCTCTGATCCCAGCCTCTAGAAGGCTGAGGCAGGAGGATCCCTGAGTTCAAGGCCAGCCTGAACTACATAGAGAGATGCTGTCTCAAAAAAGGCATTTTCCTCTCTTCTCTAAGGTGTTTTATTTCAGGGCCCTCCCTGAGCTGCACCCCAGCTCCCAACCCTAGCATCAAGCCCAGCTCCAAGGTACATGCTTGGTGAGGCGAGTGAGAGGAACGGTGGGTGCGTGCAAGGGGTGCCTTGGCCTGGGAGGTGGGTGTGCAGGGTCAAGCTGATGCTGTGTGTGAGTGATTCTCAGTGCACAGGCTCAGGTGTGCAAGAAACGGAATATTCTCTATTAGAAACTAAAAGCCTCTCAACCTAACTGCTATTTTTCAGATAAAGTTGCTTCAATCTAAACTTAGTGGGGTTTTTTTGAGACAGGGTGTCATTATGTAGTTCAGGCTTTGAAGTCACTGTGGCCCAGGCTGGCATTTTCCTGCCGCAGCCTCCCCAGTGCTGGGATTACAAGCATGCGCCGCCACATCTGGTTATAGTTCATGTTTCTGTCTGATTTGGGAGGTAGGCGCAGTAGATCCCGGTTTCCGGCGGGGATCCCTCCTTCCTGTTGTCTGTGGGGCTGGCATCCCTCCCCCAAGGGGCTCCTGTCCTCTGGCCCAGGAAGGCTGTGGCCTTCTCGCACCAGCTCCTGCCTGGGTGAAGTCTGGGCACCAGCACGCTCCCGGCGCTGCATCCTCCCCAGGACCTCCCCCTCCCCTTCTGTCTGTGGCTCAGCCTCCAGGCTGATGTTTCCGGGGGTGCTTTTTCTGCTGTGTCTTGGCCTCTCCTGTAGCTTTCTGCCCACCTCTGACAATGACGCTGATGATAATGATGATGATGATTACACCTCAGGCTGAACCTCAGACTGAACTCAAGTCTGCTGAGCAAGTGCTTTTCGACTAACCCACATTCCAGCCCCACCCCAACCATTTTTTGGAGACAGGGTCTGGCTAAACTGTCCAGGCTGATTTTGAATGGAAGATCCTCCTGACTCAGCCTTTGGAGTAGCTGGGATTCCAGGGCCTGTACCACTGCTCTCTCTGGTCTTTTTCACGTCCTGTTTCTCAGATCTCTCCCTCCTCTAACAACCTTCCCAAAGGGAAAACTTTGCCCAGATTGACTGACATCTTCATCTGCTTTGGGTCTTAGCAGCCAGGGCTCAGGTGTTGCTTGTCTTTGGTCCTTTGCATTCCTCTGCCCCTGGTGCACACGTCAGCCGGGTGCCTGGTGCTGGGTGCCCCTGGTGTCCTTCATTTCACTGTCCTCTGTGCTCTGATAGCCAAATGCACTGTTACTATTACAATATTATAATTTTGAGAGGTCAATTAAAAATAGGCAAAATAAAAAAATTATTTGTTTTTAATCAGTACCAGGGATCGAACTCATGACTACCTGCTTGCAAGGCAGGTGCTTATGCCGCTGAGCTAAATCCTCAGCATTTGTTTTTAATCTTGAGACACAGTCTCACTAAATTGTTACGTTGCTCAGACTGGGCTCAGATTTGTGTTCTTTCTGCCTCAACCTCCAAGAGTGCTGGGATTATAGGTGTGCACCATCCTGCCCAACTGAAAAGATTTGGAGGCTGAGGCAAGAGGGTTGCTATTAATAGGCCCGCTTGGACAACTTAGTGAGATATTGTCTTAAAATGTATAAAAATACTAAAAAGGATTGGAGATTTCACACAGTGCTTCCTGGTTTCAATCCCCAGGATTAAAACAAAAGAAAAAACCAAAAAATTTTGTTTTGCCTTTATTATTCCTTCTGTAATGCTGTTTATTTGTCTATGTGCACCCGAGTTCCTGATTTATATAATTTTCCTTTTCTCTAAAGAACTTTTTCTCGTATTTCTTGCTGGTTATTTCTGGCTCGGTGTGGCCCTTGGGCTCTATAGAACTCTGGATTTTTGCTGTTGTATTCAAGGTCATGGGAAGAACCTGTTAGGTATGTGTCTGCTGCCACCCCAGACAGGACCACTAGATGGCATGCCTCCTCCCTGTCCAGGGCTGCGGTCCGCCGCCCAGCAGCCTGGACCACGCCCTGGCACCCCAAGCCTGCTATCCCCCGCCTGCAGCCTGAGGTTTTGCATTCTTGGATCTCTTTCTTACCTCGCACAAGAGAATATTTCAGTTCTCCAGCGTTTGAACATCTAGCGTTTCTTTAAGGACAGAGCTCCAGAGTGCAGGAGCGATCAGGCATCACCGATTCGGGGCAACCCTCCCACCCCCCAGCGAGTACCGTTCACCGGCCGTGGTTCCTAAAAAGAAAGGGCCCAGGGCAAAATTTGGTTGGAAAGGGGTGGTCTGTGGGGTGTGGACGAGGGGGACACCTGTGGATGCGCGGTGAAGCTTTCTTTTCCTTTCTTTCTTTTTCTTTTTCTGTTCTTTTTCTTTTTGAGACAGGGTCTCGCTGCGCAGTTCAGGTTGCTTTTGAACTCACTATGTAGTCTGGGATGATCTGAACTTTCAAGGATCTTCCTGCCTCAGCATCCTGAGTGCTGGGATTACAGGCGTGTGCCACTACGCCTGGTTTGTGCCTTGATGCTTTCTTTGCATGCCTCGTAAGGATGCTGCTCATGCATTTAATAGAAACAGCAACATTTTCTGAGATGCCTTTACTCACATGAAACAGTATTGGAAGTGTTTATTTTGTGTGGTGAAGGGTGTTCTGGGTCGAACCCAGGACACACATATGCTGGGTAAGTACTGAACTACATCTTTAGCCCTTTTAATTTTTTTTTTATTTTTTTATTTTTTTTATTTGAGACAGACTCTCATTCAGCCCAGGCCCGTCTTGCATTTCCGATCCTCCTGCCACAGCCTCTAGAGAAGTTGGAACCACAGCTCCGTGCCACTGCGCCCAGCCTGTTTATTTTACTTACAAGGCTGGTGCAGGCTAAGGTGGAGCAGAGCACTTCCTGGACCAGTCACGCTGTGGGTTGCAGGTGAGGACATGGGCTGGGTTTCAGCCTCCACCGGGCCACTGCAGCAAGGAATTGTGAAACCTGGTGGAGAAGGAAGGTGTGGCCTGACCCCAAAGGGGAGGGTGCGAGGAAGAGGCCCGGAGCGGGAAGCAGGAGTGGGAGGAGCCGCAGACTGGGAAGGGCTGGGAGGCGCGGTTCCCGCCTTCCGGGGACCCACCGCCAGCTGTTTTGGTGTCTGGGCGGAAGCTCCTGGTGTGGTAGGTGCGCGGAACTCAGTTACCTGTAGGGGTTTGGCATTGTTTTGCTTTTTGAGTCAGACTCTCACTGTGTAGTACAGGATGGATTTAAACTCGCTAGGTAGCCGGGCGGGTCACCAGGCCCTGTGCTTGCAGGAAGCAGAGAGCCTGGTGGAGTGGGGTGGGGTGGGGTGGGACCAGAGAGAAACCTCCCTAGCCACGCCCCCTGCCCCGCCTCTTCCGGTCAGTCCTGCCCTGGGGAGCAAGCCGGTTATGGTGCCCATAATCCAATCGCTTCCTACCTTGGAGGCCGTTTTAGATGGGAGCCATAACGTTTTGCAACCGCCTGTGAATCTGTACTATTAAAAAAAATTTTTAAGACAAAAAAAAAAAAGGGGGTTGGGGATTTAGCTCAGCGGCATAAGCGCCTGCTTGGCAAGTGTGAGGTCGTGAGTTCAATCCCCAGTACCAAAAAAGAAAGAAAAAGAATTACAAACAAGAAGCAGCAAAAGGGAAAGACAGACAGGCGCCCAGCTAAGTGAAAGAGCAGGAAGAGTCCAGGCAGAGCAGATTAGGAGGAGGCTAAACGTGGTAAGGGACACAGGCAGGTAATAGTGGCTGTGGGACAGCCAGCCCCGATTGATTTATCCCCCAAGATCAAACTTTAATCCTCTTTCTCCTGTATTCTGGGCTCTCTTTACGTAACCAGCTATCAACTCGCTAGCATTTCTGGTAAAACTGTCCATTGGAAAAGACTTAACTTTGTTATTATTATTATTATTTAGTGATACCGGTTTAGAACAAAAAGCAGAGGAAATGAGAACGGTTTCACTCTCCCCACTCCGCTAGAGCAGGAGCCTGTGTGTCCTCCTCCTCCTGCCCCTGGAATCTGAACTCCAGTTCTCTGGCCCGTGAGACCAGCAGCTCCCTGGGTTTTTGCATTTGGTCTGAACCCAGCTATTGCTATCCCGGGAAGCCTTAGTCCTTGGACTAAGCCGTACCACTGGCATCTCAGGGTGTGCTGTGCTGCGGCTGGCATATGACTGGGTTTCTCATCCTTCATGACTAATGAAATAGTTCCCCTAGTCAGTCCCCTCTCACCTCTTTTTATGAGGTGTGATCAAATTACATGGTGAATATTTAGATTGAAAAATTTATTAGAGTAAAAGACACATTGCTGTGAATCCCCTCACTTCATACACACCTATCCCATGGTGCTTGCTACTTTCTGAGACAGTTCTGCAAGTCCTCTTTCATGAGTGTCTTTCGTTCTGCAGCCATGGCTGCCTTCAAGGCCTAAACAATTCAGAATGTTTACCTTTCATGGTCATTTTGACTCTGAGCTTGGAGTTACATGGTAAAAGAGGTGGATGAGGAGTGTATTTGCCTGCCTTTGTGTTGGATGACACTCAGCAGGAGCATTCACCGAATTTTTGATCACACCTGGTAAAGACATTCGCCAAAAAGGACTCCAGACCTGCTTCAGGAAGTGTTAAGAAGGGTTAAGAATGGAGCATGGGGGACTGTTTCCAGGTGGATAATGACAACCTATCTCTTACCGGAAGCCCCCAGCAGGTTGGATAATGCCTACCCGCCATGGGTAGACCTTCCCAGCCCAGTCTGGCAACACACGCTGAGCTCTTCTGGAAACACCCTAGAAATAGTGGTTGACCAGTTCTCTAGGCATTCCTCCACTTGGTCAGGTTGACACGCTCGATTAATCAGCACATGAGGCATATGTTTTTTTCTAGCTATGGAAACAAATCTTGAGGTATTGAAGTTATTGTTTTCTTGCAGCTTTGAAAGACGTCATCTGTGAAACCATCTGGGCCTGGAACTCTTCTGAGCAGTAACAATGTGTGTTTGTGTGTGTGTGTGTGTGTGTGTGTGTGTGTGTGTGTGTGTGTGTGTGTGAGAGAGAGAGAGATATACTTGTGATACGTGGGAGGTGTTATTCAGTGCAGAGATTTAGGGCTGATTTTTAAATAGTGGCATGCCAGTATTTAATGACCCAAGCTCCAATTGTACTTGAGCTTGGAATTAACCTTTTAATCTCACCTTTCTGCAAAGCTTTGTTGTAGATATACCTCTCCTGAAAAAATATGGTTGATAATGTTGTTGATCCAGTGGGAGAATCTTTCACAAAGATTTGAAAGAAATTAAGCCAAGATGGTTGGACACACTTTGTAATCCCAGCACTTGCAAGGCTAAGGCAGCAGGATCTCAGGTTCAAGGCCAGCCTGAGCAATTTAGTGAGACACAAGAGTGAAAGGTCTAGCTCAGTGGTAGAGCACTTGCCTCATGTACGTGAGGCCCTGGGTTCAGTCCCCAGAATTGTACACACATACACACATGACTGTGTTCACAGAAACAACAAACTCTAGCCTTCTTTCCATCATGTTGAATTGTACTTGTTTAAAATGCTTTCTTGTAGGGGTGAGGATTTAGCTCAGTGACACGGGTGTCTGCATGGCAAGCACAATGTTGTGAGTTTGATCCCTGGTACAAAAAAAAAAAAATGCTTTCTTGTTCAGTCCTTTGCCATCTTTTTTTTTTTTTTTTTTTTTTTTTTGCAGAAATTTGAGTCCCAACTGGGCAATTTAGTGAGATCCTATGTAGAAATAACACATAAAAAAGGGCTAGGGAAATAATTCAGTTGCAGAGGGTTCACTTCCTACTGGGTTTAGCACAAATCCAGTACCTAGATTTTCCCTTTCTTTTCTTCTTTTTCTCTTTCTCTTTCTCTTTCTCTTTCTCTTTCTCTTTCTCTTTCTCTATCTCTTTCTCTTTCTATTTCTCTCTCTCTCTCTCTCTCTCTCTCTCTCTCTCTCTCTCTCTCTCTCTTTCTTTCTTTCTTTCTTTCTTTCTTTCTTTCTCTTTTCCCAGACAGGGTCTCACTATGCAGTTTAGGCTGACCTTGAATTTGAGGTGACCCTCCTGCCTCAGCCTCCCAGATGCTAGAGGGCATGCACCAGCACACCCAGCTCTGGAATTTCACAGGAGCACATTGCTGTCCTGGTATCCCTGATAATTAAGTTTCGAACCGCACCTTTGGTCCTGTGTTGTGACTCTGAGTCCCTAGGCAGAAAACCAAGCTCCTTGCAAGGCAAAGCACCCTGCTTCTTCTCCCTCTTACTGCCTGCGTGAGGCAAAGTGAACCTTGCCCAGTGCATCTGCAGCAAGCCAGGCCTGGCACAGCACAGACTGCGGCCCATACCCCTGGGGATCCCTGCTGCAAAGTCTAGATGCCATGGGAGGAAGTGGAAAGAAACCTCAGATACCCTGGTGGTTTGTGTTGTGTATCAATTTGTCCAAGCTCTGGCCCCAGCTACTTGGCCAGACATAGTCTCTGCCTTGCTCTCAAGGTATTCTATAGATGGGATTAGCATTTGTAACTAGCTGACTTGAAGTAGGGAGAGTATTCTTGGGTGGGCTACATCCAATCAGTTGAAGATAGTTCCTGGAGAAGGAATTCTACCTAGACACCATACACTGGAGGAGCCAGCCTGCCAACCTGCTCTGCAGATTTCAGACCAGGGCCAGCTTTGGCCATTACTATTTTTGCTTTTGGGGCTGGGATGGAATGAGGGGCCTCACATGGGCTAGGCAGTGGCTCTGGCCCTGAGCTTGTTCCAGCCCAGCTGTTACACTGCTGTGGCCTCACTCCAGACCCTGCTGACTCGGCTTCCTCACTTGGCCTGAAGCCCTGAGTCCCAAATCCTGACTCTCAGCCGGGAGTGGGAGCAGTCAGTGGGACTATGTGTGATAGCCCAGTTGACTGTGCTAGTTTTTAAAATTTCTTCAAAATCAGGGGAGAAAGTACGAAGCCCTTAAGACTTGTCTGGGGTTTGCTGGCAACTGGATTTGTGGCTTGCTGTAATGGCAGGAATACCCTGGATGTGACACTCGGGTCACCCCAGCCTCACATCAGGAAGTGTATGGTGTGGGTTTGTCCCTTTCTTGGTGACACCAGCTTCAGTGTATCTAGGCCATCTGTCTTCCCTTATGGAGCCAGTGTCCTTAGATCAAGGAAGAGCGGCTGCCCTAATTCAGGCCAGTGCCAGGCAGGGTCAGGATTTCTGTTTGAACTGGATGAAGAGAAATGATCTTTTTTCTGTTGTCCCTCCACCTAGGAGGAGTGAAGACACAGAGCCCAGAGCTAGAGAAAACGAAACCAGGTTCCTGTGACAGCATTTAACTCCCCATCCACCACAGCTTAAGCAGCATCTACTCCTTGGACTGCTCATTACTGTCCATCCATCCATCCATCCATCCATCCATCCATCCATCAGCCGACCATTCCATCCATTCTGTTGCTTGAGCCAGGTTGGATAGGTATTCTTTTTTCTCCCCTCCTTTTGTCAGAAACCAGAGAATCTTTGTGATATGATTATGCATGATGATTATGCATTACGATTATGACTTTATGACTTATGACTGATTATGACTTTCTCCTAAGAACAATTCTGATCAAATAACATAGACATCTGAATATCAGGAAACAAAATGAGGGCCAGCTTGGTGGGCGATAACATTTAGACCCCCAAAAAATGATTCAAAGAAGGGCTGAGGATTTAGCTCAGCAGCATAAGCACCTGCCTTGCAAACAGACAGTCCTGAGTTCGATCCCTGGTACCGATAAAAAAAAAAAATGATTCAAAGAAAAGGTTCTGGGCCGGGGGTTTAGCTCAGTGGCTTAAGCGCCTGCTTGGCAAGTGAAAGATCGTGAATTCAATCCCCAATACCAAAAAAATAGAAAAGAACAGTTTCTTTCTAGTTATAGATGCCTTGGGTGAAAGTCTTGGGGCTGCACTTATGCAAGAGTGAGTATTTCTCTGGGCAGAATTTCCTTCCAAGAGAACAGGATTTCTTCGCAATGTAGGCAAAATTCTTGCTAAGGTTTGGATGTTGGATTACCTTAACAGCGTCCTGGGGCCAATGGTTTTTATCTTACAGCCACTAGCGAAGTCCTTCTGATCTTGCTGACTTTCTCTGAAACTGACCAGTTTAACCTCACAGAGAAGAAAGGCCTGGAGGTCTCAGGGATTCAGGGGATCAGCTCGGCTCTCAGACAGAGCTAGCCGTCTGGGTGTCTGTTGGATTTCAGTGGGAAGTGCTTTCAGTTTTAAAGCAGGATTCAGAATTCCATGATCTCATATTTTGTTAATCCGGGTTTTCTGTTCATTTCACCTGTGAAAGATGACCTAGCCTTACATTTGGTTATCTGATCTTTGACAAAAGGACCAAAAACATATGCTGCAAGAAACATAAGCTCTTTAACAAATGGTGTTGGGAAACCTGGTAAGAAATGCAGGAGATTAAATCTAGACCATATCTCTTCCATCTACTAAACCAAAATCGAAATGGATCACAGATCTAAATGTTAAAATAGAAGCCCTGTATCTCCTGGAGGGTAAAACAGGCAAAACTCTTGAAGACATAGGAATAGATAAGGACTTTCTACTTATTTTTAATTTATTTATTTAGACAGTCTCACTATGTAGTGCAGGCTGAACTCACTATGAAGCCCAAGCTCCCCTCAAACTCAGGGGCGATCCTCCTGCCTCAGCCTGCCGAGTGCTGAGATTATAGGTGTATGCCAGTATCTCTGGCCACATAAAGACTTTCTGAACAGTCTCAATTGCATAACAAATAACATCGTGAGTCAACACATAGGATTTTAGCAAAATAAGCTTCTACATTACAAAGGAAATAACCTACAAAGTGAAAAGACAATCTGAGGAATGGGAAAATTTTTTTTGCAGTTACATCTCTGATAGAGGACTAAGACTTAGAATATATGAAGAGCTAGAAGAAATTAGACTCAATAAAATAAAAGAATTTTTAAAAATGGCAACTGAAATGAATGGATTTATTTATAAGTATCCGATAAAATATAGGTCACCAATAAATACATGAAAAAAATGTTCCACTTCTCTGGCCATTAGAGAAATGCAAATCAAAACAAAACTGAGATTGCATCTTACTCCAGGAGGAATGACTGTCATCCTGAAATCAGTAATGAACGCTGGCAAACCTGCAGGGGTGGGGAACCCTTTTACGTTGCCTGTGGGAATATAAACTAGTCCAACCACTTTTGAAATCAGTATGGAGATTCCTCAAAAAACTAAAAATAGAAGTTCCATTTGACTCAGCTCTTCCCCTTTTAAGTATCTTCCTGAAAGAGTTAAAGGCATGGTATTATAGGGACACAGGCATATGTGAGCTGGTGGCAGCACAACTTGTAACACCTAAGTCTTGGGAACAGCCTGTATGTTCTTCAGCAATGGGATGGATGAGGAAAATGTATTGTTTTTGTTTTTATGGTACTGAGGATCGAACTCACGACTTCACGCTTGCCAAGCAGATGCTTATGCCACTAAGCTAAATCCCCACCCCTGGAAAATGTAATGATGCACAGTGGAGTGCTGCTTCTTCTGTACAGAAGGATAAATTGAATCACTTTTAGGAAAATGGATGCAATTCGAGGTTATAATGTTAAATGAATCAGACACACAAGCTTAAATATCCCATGGTTTCTCATATGAGTAGGAAAAAAGTAGAAATAAAAAGCAAAATAGGAGACAGATAATAGGAAACAGGGAGATAGATCTTTTGCAAAACAGAGGGATCAAGAGATGGAGGGAAGCGAGGGGAGGGGAAGAGAATAAAGAAGAATGAAATGTGTCATGTACATGTACCAGCACCTGCGATGACTGCAACCTTTGTGTAATGCAAACATTCACCAATAAAATTTTAAAAGATAACATTAAGAAAAAAACAACAGCCTGGTCTAAGACCCAGCACTTTGCAGACACTTGATAAACTATGGTTATATAAATGGAGAAAGCAGTGGGTCAACAGATAACCATAGCCCCTGCAGTGTGGCTCTAACCTGCCATTTCTTCTGACCAACCCAACTGGGACTTGAGTTATTTGCATCTTCACGGATTTCCCCTGCTGTCGCAGAATCACAGACACCGCGCTATTTTGCAAGCTTATCCCCCGCTTCTCACAGATCTGGGCTATAGATACCAACTTTATCATGGCTTTGTTTTATTGTCTCTCTGGAAATTTTTTAGCCATAAAGTGAATTTATGATATTTACTTGGGGCCGTCTAAGCTTTTTCTCTCCCAAGCAGTACCGTGTCTCCCTACATGCTCTTTGGGAAATGCCTTGGTGATGAGATGCTTTTCCTCTGAAGTTTGAAGCCAATAAATGAAGTCACATAGCAAATAAAAGTTTCTGTATGTCTGTTAGATTATAATTTCTGCAACTGCCCATGATCCAGAGTCTGGTCATTTCTCTCTCTGTAGTATCTTTTATAGCTTTCTTATCCCTAAGTCACTTTTGAACCAGAGCCAGTGGAGCAAGCTTGCAGAGAGCCAAAATATGATTTTCAGAAAGTGGGTTAAGTTGGTTACCATACTGTGAGCACTCAGCAAATGTCAGCTCTTCCCTCTCCCGTAAAATACGCTGATGGTTAGACACCTTCCAGGGTCCCTTCATGTGCATGGAAGTCTTCATTACCTCTTGCCTGGACTATTGCAGTCCCCAACTAATTGTTTTTCTCTACTTAGATTCTTCTCATTCCAGCCAATCTTTATTAGAATACTTTGGGCTAGAAGAACAGAAAACCCAACTGCAGAGCTCTTAAGTATAAGGGAAAATTGTTATCTCACATGACCGAAAAGTTCAAAGATAAGGCACTTTCGGGAAACTTGAGCAGCTCAGGACTCATCAAGTTCCTGGTTCTTTCCAGTTGCCAAAGTTGCCCACCCTCAGCCTGTTAGTATTTCCGCTGATAGCTGCAAGATGCCCATCATGGTGCAAATGCCACACCCTTCCACCATGACGTCTGTATGTTTTCATTACGATCAGTCTTCCAAGAAGCCTGTAAGTGGCTTCCTCTTGGGTCTCCTTTGCCAAATTTGTAACATATACCTGGCTTTTTATTTTATTTTAAAGAGAAAAAACCAAAAGAGGACAGAACAAAGCAGATCGGAACAGAACAATGTAAGCAACACAGCATTTCACAAGACGAGAACCGGATATTAACAGTAGCTACCATAATGTCTCATTCTTTGAAATAGTTGAATATATCTTCACATACAATAATATCAAACATAACAAAATAGTATAAAACCTTTCAAGAGAATGAAAGTATTACAGGGCATTCAGAACCAAATAACAGAAAATGAACAATGCCTGCTATATTATCTCATTTTCCATAAAAAATTTGTTTATACTATCACACATGTTAATATCTGGTAAGACCCAACATGATAGAACCAATGGAAATAGAAGAATAAAAGCATGGTAGGATTTCAAAGCAAGATGATATTAAATCAGCCATGGCCATCATAATGTCTTGTTTTCTTCAAAGTAGCTGTTCATACAATCACACATAATAAAATCAAACAAACCAGGATAAAACCATTCCAACTAATGAATGAAAACATTATAAGGCTTCAAAGCAATGTAATGAGGAATCATGATTACTATAAAATCTTATATACTCTTACCATTACTTACACTAGAGAGACTATATGGTATTTATACATGTGAGTTTGATTTATTTCACTTGTGAGTCTGGTCTCAAGTTGCATCCATTTGTTTATAAATATCTCAATGTGATCACTCTTTATAGCTGAGTAGTACTCCACTGTATAAAAATACCACAACTTTTTTTTATCCATTCCTCAGTTGATGGGCACTTAGGTTGTTTCCAAGATCTGGCTATTACAGATTGTGCTGCTATAAACATGGGTGCACATATATCACTGCATTTTCAGTTCTTCTTCCAATATGCCCAGAATTGGAATAGCTGGGTCAAATGGGACTTCCAATCCCAGCTTTTTGAGAAATCTCCAGACTGATTTCCACAGTGGTTGCACCAGTCTACACTCCCACCAACAGTGCAGAAGAGTTCCTTTTCCCCCACAGCCTCTCCAGCATTTGTTGTTGGTAGTTTTATTGACATACACCTGTTCTTAAGATGACTGCTGACAACAGTCATGGAATTACCATCACTAGGTCAAACCACGGATTCCCTACATGACAGAACCAGTGAATCCTTATGTTTCAAATATTTCATAACTCTTTTTTGAAATAAAAGATAGTATACACAACACCACACATATTCTAAAAGACACATCAACATAAGCCCTAAGTAGAAAATAAAGGCAATTTATAAAAATCATATATGTCTGAATTTTAATATGTGTAGTAGCTTGTGTCATGGGTTCCCATTATTTCCTGCTTTCTCTGTAACAGAATTATACATCCCAGCTTGCTGGTGATGTACAGAGCCTCACATAATTGGTGTTAGGCTTGGTTTAGGATTTGCTTTGGTCAGTGTAAGATGAATGGAAGAGTCACGTCAGAGAAGAGTTTGAAAAGCCACCAAATGACTATCATATTATTCCTCTTTGTGTGTGTGTGTGTGTGTGTGTGTGTGTGTGTGTGTGTGTGTATGTGTGTGATACTGAGGACTGAAGTCAGGGCCTCTACTCTGAGCTACATGTCACCTCTTTTTATCTTTCATTCTGAGTCAGGGTCTTGCTAAGTCACTGAGTGGACCCTGAGATCCAACTTGCTAGCCTCAGCCTCCTAGGATGCTGGGATTACACGGTGCGCTACCATGGCCAGTTTATTACTCTTTCTCTTTGCTATAGCAACAGCATGTCTGAGAGCAGCTGCTCCTTTACCCTGGATCTCAAAATGATGTGTAAAGTGAACAAGATAAACAGTATTGTTGTAAGTCATTGAGATTTGAGTTGTTTGTTACTGCAACAAAACCAGTCTGATTAACACCGTATAATACAAGATATTCTAGCATATAAAAAAGTAGTCTGCACATTATGTATTTTTCACCTATACATAGCATTACCATCATTCAGCAGCTTCAGATAAATACCCATACAATTGTTTTGTATGAGACAATTTAGAAACCAAGAGGGATGTTGCTATTAGTACGATTTTCTGCAAAGGTGATCAACTCAGTGAAGCTGTGACTTAAAAACAAAAAATTCCTCAGTTTACATGATAATTTATATTCACAGACATGAAGCCTATAATAAAATTTGGCAAAACTAATGTGTATGTGTGTGTGTGTCTGTGATGCTATTAGATTACACACAGCTCTGTGACTGGAAGAAAGCACTAGGATGTGTTCAGAGTGTGAAGACTCATCAACCTGTACGGCTCTGTGTATTAGCCTCAAGGTATGTTAGACCACAGTAGAGAGCTTATAAAGTCATGCAGAGCATGGGACAAATCTATGATGTATGAGACTGTCCCATGCATTCCAGGATGTTGGGCATTCCTGATCTCTGTCTCCTATGGGCTAGTGTCCCAGAACAAACTACCCCACAAATCTCTGTAATATTGAACCTCTGAGTGCTGTAAGTTTATGCTAACCCAGCCTCACTCCCTGAGCTGGGCTTTTTATCTGAATACAATTGGTCTATCCATGGCATCCTTCATAGGTGCAGTCAGAGGGAATGGGAGTGTGGCTCCACTGCTGGTGGTAGTGATGGAAGGGTGAAGGTTATGGTGGTGATGGTGGTAAAGGTGATGATGGTGGGGTTAGTGGTGCCAGGAGTCACAGTGATGATGGAGATGATGATGGGGATGATGGTGGTCTTGGTGAAGATGGCTATGATGGTGGTGATCGTGATGACAAAGATAATGGGAATGTTGGTCATGGTGGTCTTGGTGATGGAGATCATAGTGGATTTGGTGATGGCAGCAGTGATGTCAATGGTTGTGGTGGTGATCCTGGTGGTGATAGTCTTTGGTTAGCCATCTGTGTCTGCTCATCATCTTTCATATCTTTCACATACATCTC